CTTTTCCAATTGCCACCCGCTAACAACGAATATAGATCGGTGGCCTAGCAACACGCAAAGTGAGCTAAGCACAATCGAGACGGCTACCGTCGTGCAGGATCTAGGAGTCAGCATCACTAACGACTTCAAGCCATCCNNNCCTGACATCCACCAAACCTGAGGTTTTTGTACCGCTTTACAAGGCTGTTTTCAGGCCGCATCTGGAATACTGTGTCCAAGCATGGCCACCGTATTTGCAAAAGGATATGAAATGTACTGAATAAGTACAACAAATAGCCTCTTAAATGATGGAGGGTCAACGAAACAAACCCTATAAAGAACGGCTAGCCTCCCTAAATCTGTTTTCGGCGAAGAGGAGACGATTGAGGGTGGACCTCATAGAGACCTTCAAATGTATGAAGGGTTTCAGTAATATCAGTCTCCAAGAGATTTTCCACCCTGCTAAGGAGGACGGTTTGGGAGGGGTCACGAGCTAAAACTGAAAAAGCAAAGAGCTCGATTGAACATCAGACATCACTTTTTAACAAACCAAAGTGTGAATCATTGGAATAGGCTACCGGCGAAGATCATATCTTGTGGCATTGTGACCTCCTTTAAGCACCAGCTAGACCGGATATGGTCGGATCTTTTCCCGGATCTATACTAGGCTGCACCCCAGATGGCAACAATGAAGGGGGTACTGAGGTGATACTGAATACAGACAATTTCCTTCCTAACTTTTTCTCCTGTTTCCTTGGTAAATTAAGCCAGCATACGTTTTGGCTAGACTCCCTCTCCTCCACAGGAATGATGTCATTCTGTGGCCCTCCAAAAGGTAATACCGGAGTGGTTTGGAGCATGACTCACTCACGAGATGAAGCAACGGCACAGGAATGCATTCTGACCAATCGCAAAGTGCACGTTCACTTAGTACACACGAACACCCAAGAGCCACTTTAGCTTAAAACGTTACTCACAGGCATACCAAACTGGACATTTTTCGTTGCCGTGCCAAGACCAAAATCATAATAGAGGCATTAAGGTAACCACAAGGACAAAAAAGAGAACTGTATGGTCCTCCTCAGCTAAACATCACGCGGTCTAAAAAGAGTAGTCACCATGCCCCAACAGCAAGAGCCTTTTGACTCAATTTGAACAATCAGCGGTCTATAAATAAAAAATGGCCACCATGCCCAGACCGTAAGGAGCCAGCATTAACGTGGGACGCCATAGCGGTGTACTCCTGTTGGTCTCCAATAGACGTTCATGTGATGGGCAAATTGAGGTAAACGACAACAGTTCTCACCAAACACATTATTCGTGGGTGGTCTCAAGAGACCAAAAAAGGAATTAAAAGAATTTGAAATAAAATATCAAAAATCAAATAAATAAAGAAGAAAAAAACAAAGAAATTATGATTATAAAAAATGATAAAAAATCTACTGCACACCGAGCACAAAAAGCCCACCACTCTCTCATACATCGTATACCTTACAGCACGCACCCGAATATAAACCACTGACCATTGCAGCACACGAAAGCATACAAGAAATAAACATCACACAAAAGTGACACGATGCTCCTTTCGCTGGCCAGTGCTGAATGTGCTACAACTGCCAGTCTCTAATATGAGTGCGAAAGTGAGACTCCAGAATGGTACTGTTAGTTTCTTATTTTTACCACTCCTCTCTCTGTAAAACTTTTAGACCTAACAATAAACAGTATCACTTGAAGTAAACCCCTGGTATTGTTGCTGGATGGGATAGCTGCCCGAATCTATAGAAGGTAAACAAATCATCATAACCAACGAAAACAATATTCACAATATACCAGGGGCCTCCTGCTGCTTCGCAGTTTCATCTGGCTTAAATGCACTTCAAATGCTCGCTGTTCCGGTCTGTTGATCGAGCGGATGTAACACGTGAAGTCTGAAATGACCTCTTGTACCTTGTATGGCTCATAACATTCTCGGAAGAACTTCGCCGGCATTCCTGGAGTCGGTGTTTCCATCCGTAGCCAAACACGATCTCCTGGTTTTATTGGTGTACCCAATGCCTTCCAGTCGTAGTATTCTCATTGTCGTCTAGTCTTGGTCTGCAGGTATTGTCTCGGCATTTGGAAACCCCTATGGATGTTTTGCTGCAGTTGAACCATGTAGTCGCTTGTTGTAAGGCCGCCGTTTGGTGGATCTGGGTTCTATATGTCGATAGGAAGTCTCAGTTCTCTCCCCGTTGCCATGAACTGCGGCGTCTGGCCCGTTGATGTATGCACACTAGCACGATACGCCAGCAGACGATGAGGTATGACGATATCCCACCTTC